GAGGCCATTGCTTGTAGGTTGGAGGCCATCGATTCTGGGTTAAACGCTATTACTATTAGGTTGGAGGCCACTACTTCTAGGTTTGAGGGTTTTGCTTGTAGGCTGGAGGCCATCGATTCTGGGTTAAACGCCATTACTATTAGGTTGGAGGCCACTACTTCTAGGTTTGAGGGTTTTGCTTGTAGGTTGGAGGCCATCGATTCTAGGTTGAACACCATTGCTATTAGGTTGGAGGCCACTACTTCTAGGTTTGAGGCCATTGCTTGTAGGTTGGAGGCCATCGATTCTAGGTTGAACGCCATTGCTATTAGGTTGGAGGTCATCATGTGGCAACTTCAAATGACTTGTGCAGGTGGGCTCCTTCAGCTGCGAGCTTTATCCGATCTGGTGCTGTCGACCGGCCGGGGGCCACACAGTCTAACACAATCTAAAGAGTCACAAGAGCCCCTAGTAGCGTTCTTGCTCCTAGTAGTAAGGCCAGGAGCCCCTAGTAGCGTTGTGCTCCTAGTAGCGATGCCAGGAGCCCCTAGTAGCTTCACAAGAGCATGTTCTTTCTATCCTGACCGATCGTGCCAGGAGGTGCAAGAGATGCCAGAAGGTTCGGATGCTGACTCCAAGGCGACTGAGGCACCGATGCTGGAAATTGCCACCAGAAGCAAGGTGCTCTCGGGCTGCGTCTCGCATGTGGATGTTGAAAGGGCAACACGTTCTTGGACGATGTTTAGGGTAGTACGGCGTAGTAACACGGATCTGGAGGTGATTGCGTGCTCGCTAGGAGCCCAGCTCCCCAAACCGAGTCCAAGTACAGCAACAGCTGCGCTGTTGTGGACAGAAGGCACCGAGGCCAGACAGAGCCGAATGTTGGATCAGTGGATCGCTCTCAGCTTGGAGGCCACCGCTCTTAGGCAGGCCATCGCTAGCCGCTAGTAGGAGGCCATCGCGAGTGTTTCTATTGCAGGAGGACCTCTCATTCAACGGGCCACGACTGGATTGGAATGATCCTTTCATTTGGCACTTGGGAAATCGGATCTAAAACGGAACAAATTTGTAAAAAACCCTACATTCTTCCTGGGAATATTTCTGCTCGCCATACTCACACCAAAAATACAACCACTCAGTCAATTAGCCTAAATAGATTTGCTCTTGTCTCTCCAGGTTCCTGCAGCGTATTGTCACGCGCCTGGCTGATTTTCAGGCGAGTAAATATACGCCCATCCTACTGCATTTCTCAAACAATCCACTCTTGGAACAATTTACTTGCTAAAGCAACGATTGACATCATTCTCCTGTGAGCTTTTACGGGCGGAATTGATTTGAGCTCAGGTCGATGAAATGTTGGGTTGAGGCCCTTTGAGCACGCTTTCAAAGAAACACATACAGGGCCCTCTTTTCGTTTTCCATTGCTCTTTAGTAAGGCACTTGTTACTACTAGCGATGCACCTGTTACTAGTAGCTCTAGTAGTAATCGGTGAGTCCACCTGTTTTTTGGAGCCCGGCTTCATTCTTCAGTGATAGGTCCCATTTCTCGAAGAGCACCGCTGCGAAGTGCTGTGCGCCAGCGCATTGCTGGTGGTGGCAGGTGGAATCGCTTTTCCGTTTGGGAAAGGGGATGGCAGCAGTGGGCTGGTGGAGAGTGCTTCAGAAAACCACCTGGTTGCAAAAGCTATTCCTGTAGATCAGATACCGAATGATCCCAGAATATATCAGATGAATCATATTCCCTCTTTTCTAGTTGTCCTTCACCAAGATTGCTTAGAGAATCTCCACGGTGTGAGTTTAGGACAGATGCGTTCGGGTCCAGATCCGTTGTGGTCACCTCCCGGTGGCGGGCTCATTCTCGCCAGGCGTGGTGTTGAGCATGGCCTCGTTAGTGGGCGGCCTATCGAGGGGAGCTTTGCTGGAACATCTCAGCTGGACAACTCGCCGCAGCGGGGGCGACTGAACAACTCAGTTTGGCCCGTTCGTTCTCTCATTCGCGCACTGACGCCACGTTTGCCTCCAATTATTGAAACGTCCAGTTTGTTCACACATGATTGCCTCCTAGGAAACTCCTCATTTTTAATCAACTGCATTTCGCTTGTCTTTTGTGACGAGCAACTGCGCAGAATACGGTCAGCAAGCTCCGGGTTCATACCCTGTGTTCCCTAGGACCCTAGGAGGAAGTGAGAACTAATAGGTGCTTCTGTGTTGAAAATCCTGAAAGCGTTGCAGGATCACCTTGGAGAACCAGGAAGAGCAGCGCTTCCTGGGAATGCGCTTCGTGTGCATCGCTGAGGGACGTTTGTCGAGTCCAGCCTTCAGTCCGGACTGGGCAGGCGAAGGGAGGGGCCACGGGAGTGCCAGCTTGCCGCTTTTCAGCTCTCCAGCAGAGGCGTCTTGGTGCCTTTGCTTTTCTGCAACTTACCAGTAGGTTGGAGGCCATCGCTAGTAGGTTGGAGGTCATGGCTAGTAGGTTGGAAGCCATGGCCAGTAGGTTGGAAGCCATCGCTAGTAGGTTGGAGGCCATCGCTAGTAGGTTGGAGGCCATTGCTAGTAGGTTGAAGCCATCGCTAGTAGGTTGGAGGCCATCGCTAGTAGGTTGGAGGTCATCGCTAGTAGGTTGGAGGCCATGGCTAGTAGGTTGGAAGCCATCGCTAGTAGGTTGGAGGCCATCGCTATTAGATTGGAGGCCATCGCTAGTAGGTTGGAGGCCATCGCTAGTAGGTTGGAGGCCATCGCTATTAGGTTGGAGGCCAGCGCTAGTAGGTTGGAGGTCATTTGCTCTTAGGTTGGAGGCCATTTGCTACTAGGTTGGAGGCCAGCGCTATTAGGTTGGAGGCCATTGCTATTAGGTTGGAGGCCATCGCTCGTAGGTTGGAGGCCATTGTTATTGGGTTGGAGGCCAGCGCTAGTAGGTTGGAGGCCATTTGCTATTAGGTTGGAGTCCATCGTTATTAGGTTGGAAGCCATCGCTAGTAGGTTGGAGGCCATCGCTATTAGATTGGAGGCCATCCCTAGTAGGTTGGAGGCCATCGCTAGGAGTTGCAAAGATTTGGACCCAGACAGATTTTCCTAGCAAAAAGTGCCCGGACTGAGTTGCGCGCGGACTCGTCAGGCAATCCAGACCGGTGTCTTCCTTTGATGCTCAGCTTTTAAACCAATGAGTGGGCTGGACTAATGGGGCTATGTAAGGGAGATGGCCCAGAGGGCTTCAATTCTGATTGTTGGTTTGAAGTGTTGCTGGGTCCAGACCTGTTGGAGATGGTTCTGAGTCTTAAATCCAAGCTCTTTTCGTTTCAAACCAGGATGGCCAGTTCCTTACGCAAGCGCTTGGCATGCGACGAAGCTGGAGCTTTCCATGTCAAGTTGTGATGGTAAAATAGTAAAATGCATCATGCCATATAATATACCTCTCATTTCTATGTTCTTTTCCTTTCATTTTTTCATTATTCCCGAAAGCATTGCGAAGGGTTCTTCCGGAAAATCCTTTGAACACTTACACTTCGACACTCACACTCACACACACACAGGAAGAGCGAAAGCATCCAAGTGCGAAGTATGCCAGTGTCAAAGTATGCAAGTGTAAGTATGCAAGCATGATATGCAAGGGTGAGTATGCAAGCACGCAATGACTATGCAAGCATGCAATGAGTAGGCAAGTGTGAGTATGGAAAACTAGCACGGGAGATGTCCTAATGAAAAAACATTTCCCCACTTTATAAATTCTCTCTTAAAGGCGGAGTGCGGGACGAACAGCGTCAACCGAAAGTGCAACCCTCTGCGGAGATCGTGCGTGTCGAGTGCGCGAAATGCAGGTGAGAGTGCGATTTGTCCGGTGCGCTCGCAACCCTCTGCGGAGATCGGGCGTGTCGAGTGCGCGAAATGCAGGTGAGAGTGCGATTTGTCCGGTGTGCGCGCAACCCTCTGCGGAGATCGTGCGTGTCGAGTGCGCGAAATGCAGGCGAG